AGGTAATTGGCTAAAGCTTTCATAAATATTATTCCCCCAAGCAATTCTCAGGGAGTCTGAGGTTACAAGACTGAAGTAAAGTCAATGCTCCTGTAAGCGTCAACGCAGCTCACTTCTTCCCATTCCCTGCCGCACTTTTATCGAGCTCTTCTCATGTCTAAGCTTGCCTTGGTGTAGCATGTCTTTGCCACCCTTCAACCTGAGAAGCCACAGGTGCATCTGAATTTAGGCACCACTGTGGAATTCCCCAGCTGACCTCTCTGAACGTCACCCTGCCAAGGTTGGCAAGGCAGACACAAAGGTCTGGAGGATGTGTCGAGAGAGTCAGAAGCCCACCTCCCTGCACTGACAGCCCAGACCAGCAGATGTTGCCTACCCTGCTCCTTAAAAAGGCCTCCGAGGAAAGAGATTCCTCAGCACCATGAGGTAATCCAGCCCGAGTTTTTAGCACCATATGCAGCGTTTCACACTTTGCATGTATTTGGAAGAACTGGAGACCCAAATCCCCAGTTGAGAGCGCGACAGTCGGGCTGCCAGAATCCTTCACGCAGCGGTGCCTGTGTCAGGGGAGCGACTGCCTCAAAGCACCAACTCGATTCCTCCCCCTGCAGCCCGGCCCCGACACCCCAGGCACCAGCCCCAAGGAAAATCCTCCTGCAGAGGCTCAGCCACCTCACGCACAGAAAAAACACTTGTTGAGCCAAAAGGAATCCTAGCACGAGGTCCAGCCTCACTTGCCTGGGCAGTAGTGCTGGCGATGGCAAGGCTTGCTTGCCGCATAGCTGATGCATAAAGCAACCTCTAATTTTTCCCGGTTTCATCCCAAAAGGCGGCCTCTGTAGTTATGTTTCTTTATCCATACAGATGTGGTGCTGATACAGCGGTGGCACATGAAATATTTTGCTCGGGGCAACACAAGTGTGACAAAACAGGGCTTGTATGACCGTTCACAGTGGAAAACCGAAAGTAGTCAAGAAAGACGTGGGGTTTTGAAGCTACAAAAAAAAAAAAAAATAAAAAGCAACTGAGAGTCCACCACAGTCCACCCTGACTGCTGGGAATCCAGCACTTGCTGCTTCATCATGAGACCTTGCCTGAGCTCCCTACAACAGCTTCTGGCCGCGAATACTGATAGAGGAACCACTCACGCTTAACGTGACTGTCCCATCAGCGCTCTTGTCAGATAGCGCGATCATTCCCCACCACGCAGAAAATGGAATCGCCTCGTTACGTTCGGTAACTGAGTCAGCCAACAACGCTATTTTCTTTATAAATTATACCTCATAACTTAGTAACGCTTCTAAGCTATTATAAACACATCTTGAAAGCGTACCACAATTTTAATCAGTTCCAACCATCAGATGTTGGGTTTGATATTTATGATTGTTCTGCCTCCATTTTGTTTAAGGGCTCCTATTGTCTATGAAAGCAGAGATAAGAAAGTTATCTAGGACGCCCACTGTAAAGTCTCTAGTTTAAGAGGAAATTTCCTCAGTCCCTGACTGTCAGATACGACTAGCTGCTGTTACTTTCCATAGCACACCAAGCAAGTGGTCTTACGAGGAACAGCCTTTGCCCTACACAAGCAGTCACCAAGTGAAGTATCCAATAACAGAGCCTTGAGGCTTCTACACGGGACCCCCTGAGCCCATTTTAACCTACAGGGGGGAAAAAGGTAATAACTGTAGTAAGAACTTGGTGTGGTATTAAATAAACGATTTCCAGACACCTCCTTATAAAAGCCTCTTTTTTTAGAGACCCCCCATCAGCCTTTAAATTAGCATACCAGTTCCTACTCTGAGGTTCCTGATGGCTTGCAGCTCAGTTCAACACCAAGCAGAGGCAACAAGCCTGACTCCCTCGGGCTTTGTGGGGTCCAGCGGGCAGCTTAAGGGCACCCAGGGAGCTCCTCAGCACTCAACGCAGAGTTAGTTGAGCAGCCCTTTGGCACCCAGCTCCTCACATCACTGTTTGAAGGAGTATTCCTACAGAAGGTCCGAAGAAAATCTTTACTTCCAGATTCGGGGCTATGTGAATACATCATCTGTAATCGGCAGGTATAGCACTAATTTGTCTTTTGCTATACAAGAAAGCGAGATGATCCATCAACCTATTCAGTTTGACTATTTACACATATTTTAAATCTTTGCTTACATAAAACTACAATAAAGTATTTTAGAACAGAGCATCTGCCAACATGCATACAACGTTCTGCTAAAGGCAGATGCATACCGTAAGGTATATGTAAGATCATTAGTTAGCTATGACAGGCGATTTGCTGTGATTTATCTTTCAGGATCACCTCATTCACAAGGAAAATTGAGTGTCGGCCCCATCCATAACCTATACATGCAGTCTAGATACTTGAAAATGATAATAGGTTAAAGGATGCAGCAGACAACTCTCCACAGCGAGCCAAAATATTTAACCCGAAACCTTTTGGAATAGAACCTGAAAACATCAGTAGCCCAGCCAGAACTCCTACTAACATGGAATTGCCAGGGGCTAATGAGCATAGAAAACTCTTTACCTAGCACATAATTTTACTGTTGCTGGGAGAGCACTGCTCAATTGTTTCGGTACAGATCCAAGAAATTTGCTTCTTATGGTTTTGTCTCTGTTTGAGGCAGACACAAATTAAAGCTAAATTAAGAGCTGTGGTTCAAAGCGAGTCAATGGAACGCGAGAACAAAGGTCAGAACTCCGAGCTCTGCCCTGCAGGTGCATATCCCGAGCGCTCGGCGAGACAGGGCCATCCACCTTCTGGGGACAGCTGGCAACAGAACCGGGAGCAAAGCCTTTGGAGCCCCATCTTCATACCACCTCCTCCAGCAGCAAACCCTACGCAGTTGGCCAGCGTGCCCTGGGCTTGCCAAGAATGGGAGGCTGACAGCAGGGCAGTGGCTCCGCTAGAAATTAAGGGGCACTGCGTAGAGCACAGCCATTTCCTCCCCTCACATCCCATCGCTGCTTCACGGGCCTCCTTTGCAGCACCACAGCAGGATGGACGACGGCTCGTTCCTGTAGCAGTAACTGAAGTCATACTTAGTTTTACGAATTGCCTTTCCTCCTTACTCTCCTCTCTCTAAAAAGGCTTCCTGAAGCACAGCCTGGTGAGTTAGTCTGTGCACGCTAGATTCAAGATTTGCCCCAAACCCTTAAGTGAACCACCTTAACAGCTGCCACAAAAGCCAACAACCTCTAATCGATACCTTCCATGTTTAACACAGAAACTGCCTCTCCCCAAAACATTCCCATGCCTGCAAAGAACAGCTAAGTGACAACAAATTTAAGATGCTCTTGTTTTGCATGGCTTAAGAACCCCAGGCAGAGCCCATCATTTTCCAACAGCAGCATGTACTTAACAAAAAGCAGCAGCGACGAAGGCAATTGAGACACCTGCGAGATACCACAAAACACATTAAAAAAAAAGATATTCACCAAGGCTGTAAACGCATGTGTGTTGCATGAAGTAACGATGCTTAAAAATCATTGAAAACGTTAACACAATGAACATGAAAATATTGAATGCGTTAGAGTATTTTTGCATGACTTCATCCTAGATCTTTTTATTCCCTAATTTGACTCTGTTTTTTAGTCTAGATTATAAAGAAGATTTAAAACAGGGAGCTTTTTTTTCCCCCTTCCAATGAAGCCTTCCCATTAATAAAAAGGAAACAAAGAAAATGAAGAAAGTGAGTAGTAAAACTTTTACAACATAATAAAATATATCAGAATCCCAGTGCAGCAGGATTGGAATTGTCTAAAGATGCTGAATTATGATAGCTTGTCATATAAAGTTCAGTCCAGAGTATTAGCAATCATATTCTCTAGCAACATGTATATAATTGGTAGGTCTTCATTATAACCCTCAGTTTTAAAGGCTCATAAAAACTGCGTTTTACTCATAATTTGCAGGAGGAAAAAAGAAATTCTTAAAGGAAAGGAACATCTTTTTCTCAGTAAGAAAGACTTTGAAGGCAATGCACTGTATTTTAAAGCAAGCAACTCTAAGTGCGCTCTCTTTCTTTTGCATGCTTTGATGGGGTATTATACAGGCAGTTTAAAAAGATAAATACGTATCTATAGCACGCAGACTAGAAAGAAAATCAGTATCACATGCTATAGAGAGGAACCTTCTGAAAGTATACTGTAAGCAAAGCACACCACATTATTTTTGAATACAAGTACTGGGGTACTCTAAGGTAAGTATCTCAGTGCAGAATTGTTACCAGAAGTAAAACAAGCAAACACAAGAAGAAAGCAGGCTAGTTTACGAAACATATATAAACTACATTTATTCGCCTCAGTACTACAGCATGAAAAATAATTATGAAAGTATTATGAGCACTTGACACTCACAGAAGGCTCCTAAATCTCTTCGCATTTTCTCAGTTTCTTCCTCGACACTCTAAAACAAAATCCTCTCAGTTTGTTAGCGAGTCAGCTACTGAGTGCCATAAATTTCCAATTATCCCAGCCATCCCTGGACTCGCCAAGGCAAAGCTACGGTAATGAATAGGATGCTGAAGCTTCTATATGGAACAGTAAAACACAACCTGCCGTCAAACCCAGACATTTTAACTTTATACTTTTGCCAGAGTAAAGCCTTTTTGTAAATAGAGCGTGTTTGTTTTCAAATAAAACTACTTCAAGCTGTTTCTGGAAGCACAGTAAATAGTAAAAAATAATAACAGCAACAATTTACATTTGGATTTCAAACCCTGATGAAACAAAGCCAGCACACGTCAAGCCTAGCGTTTTCCTACCTGGAACAGGTAAGGACCAGCTCTCAAATGCCACCTTGGGATAGCTCAGACTAGTAATCCCGTTCATGTTTAGATGAGACACCAGCATGAACAAGAAAAAAAAAAAATCTACCCCGTCCTCTTCTTTTATTAGCAAAGCCTAGAGCGGCAGTTAAGACACAGAAAGCAAGCCGAGGACCCGGACTAACCCAAACACGCTGCTCAAGAGAAACACGTTTAAAAGAGACTTACTGCTTGCCATGTGACTTGGTGAGGTATGCTGCCCATTGGGTGTACTGGAGGTGAGGTCAATAGCCATGTTGGAGTGCTCCCTTTCGGGTGAAAGCTCATTGTCACCTGCTTTCACAAAACAAGTCACCCATGAGTTTCCATCCCGCTGTCCCGCAAAGAGACCCCCTGATTAAGAGCTATGCCTCGCTGTGCCCCTGCCCGTCCTCCCTCTACGAGGGGAGCCTTCCAAAGCCTGTGCGAACTGGGTTCTCAGTGGCCACAAGTAAATATTTGACTGACTGATTTTAAGAACCCCCCTCAAACCTACTGTCACCAGTCTCTTATGAAAATTCCTGCCCCAGCTGCTTCGCCTCAACAGAAGCGAGGACTGCTTCTCTGTTTGCAAACACTGAGAATCAGGACGGGGCAGGAATGGGCTGAAATATTACTTTACAGGACAGACTTTCCCTTCAGAGGCTCCAGCTAACTGACAGTTAAACAACGCACTCAAAGACGCTTTGCCCTGACACAGAAAACAGGAGAAATGCACAGTGAAAGGCATTAAAAGTTTCTGGCTGCAATGTGAATTTCTGAAAATGAGCTCTCTCTCTCTCTTTTGTAAAGTTCATTCATCCTCAGCAAATATTTAAATTGCGAGGTACTCACCCATGAGCCCATACCCACACATTTCTCAGCCATACACCAAGTTTATGTTTAAATGCCATTAATTCAGCGGCATCTCAAAGCAAAGCCCATACAGAAGCAAGCTAAAGTTTCAGGTGTCTGCATGACAAAAAGATAGTGGGAAAAGGAAAGTAATTCAGAATAATCAAATAAAATGACTACTTACATGTTATATATCCATCAGCAGCCTCTGCTTCCATAGTCAAAGTGCAGTGCTGCAAGGCAGAAAAGTACACCCTCAAAGACGCCTGTCAGTATCAACCATTAAATGATTAAACTTACTTAAAGCCCTAAGTAGTTACCCATTTTACTGCTGTTGCAACCATTGCCTAGAGAAACACACAAGTGTAGTGCATGTGCTCATCTGCGAATCACTGAACTCTTACTGCAAATTATCTGAGCAGAGAAATCCAGCTGTCCCCTGGGCAGCCTGTGCTGGGATCTTCTTGGTCTGACCAAGAGCTGTCCCCCACTCTCCTTTTTACCTGATTTGAATTTTCCCTCCCCAGACTTTCCACTTGTTTTGTCCAAGACAGGATTGCAATTCTTTATCAATTATCAGCTCTCACAGCCAGAACAGACTTGGAGGAGATTGCTACTCTTAACAATTGCTCTTTTCACACGTACTCCGGGAGACTCCATCCTGTTCTGAACGAAATAAAGCCTCCTGTGCCCATGCCCCCTCGAGAGGGTCCTCACAAGCCTTTGTCTCACACCACCACCCTCACACCAGCGCACACACCTGTACACGCACCTGCTCCTTCTAACCTTACTGATCTGCCCCAGCACGGGGCTGAACGTCACACTGGATGCTCCCAGACCATGCATTTTTTGGCATGAAGCAATCTTAAAGTTTCTGGAAGCACTTTGCTGACACAGAACAAGCTATTACTTTCCAGAAACCCAAGTAACTGTATAGAATGACACCCCCTAGCTATCATTTGATATATATTGAGAAAAAGAAAGAAAGAGAGAGAGAGAGAGATCAATAATCATAACTATGTTCTTTTAAGTGGAAAAGTTAAGAAACTGACATGACCAGAGGAGAATTTTATTTCCTCTCTCCCTCCATGGCCTCTTTTTTGCCTTTAGTTTCAAAACTCTCACTGCACCAGGCAGCTAAATTATTCACAATGAGCCATTTCTGTATTGATCGCCAAGTATATTTAGCCCTGGCTCCTGGAATTTCTCCATTACTTACTGGAAAACAGGCAGCTTCACTTCTTGTCTCCAAAACCACTTCCCTCCCCCTCCCTTAACCCGCTTTCCTCCCTCCCCGACCCCCCCCCGCCTCTCCCCCAATAAATAAATACTTTTCTCTCTGTTCTTCCTTGGTATAAAGCAGATCAAATTCCCAAGGCATTCAGCACATAACACTTAAATTTCAACCTGCCCGGCTGCTACCAAACTCTCTTCGGTTACTGATTTTTCACATGACTTAAAAAAAAATAAAAAATGTTCAAAAAGTTTCCAAAACAGGTAAGCCGCTTCCTCAAAGCCCTTCAAAATTACCTTATCTTCCCCCTAGTCCAGGTAGGCAGGCACACACTGAGAAAAAGAAAGAAACATCAGAAGCAACAGGGAAAGATCATCCCAGCCAATGAAGTGGAAGGAAAGAAATGGGAGGAAGGGAGGAGGAAGAGAAAGGAAGGCAAAAAAGAAACACAGAAACATCCGTAACCAAAATTAAAACACGGTTTGGCTTTTATTTTTTATTTCTCCAAGCGGGGAGGAGGAGGAGGAGGAGGAGAAGGGGAAGGGGGGGGGAGAGAGGGAAAAAAAGTTCGGTCACCATTTTTAGGCTGCGATGGCAAATCCCGGCTGCTAAGCTCTCCTTTGCACGACGAATGAAGGGGAGGGGAGAGGGGGAAGAGACGGAGAGAGAGTTTTTGGGTGTGCTGAGGACACAGCGAGATGGGGAAAGTTTAAAAAATAAGGAAAGGGGGGGGGGGAGAAAGCCGCCCCCGGCACTTACAGGTGGGGCATGCGGAGCCGGGCAGCCCGGGGTGAGGCGGCGGGGACAGGCGCTCAGGAATGGCACATAGTTTGAGGGAAGATGAAGAACAAAAAGGGAGAGGGAGGGAAGGAAGGGGAGAGGGAGGGAAGGGGAGAGAGAGAGGGAGGGAGGGGAGAGGGAGGGAGGTCAGCCGGTGCTACAGCAATGCGATTAACCAGGAGGGAGAGAGAGAGAAAAACTTGATCCACCGGTTCCTTCCCGATCGGCACGGCAACGGGAGGCGAGGGGGGGACCTGGGGAGGCTTTGGGGAAGGTTTGAGGGGTTGGGGATTTATTTATTTATTATTTTTTGGGAGGGGGGGGGGTTCAGCGCCTCAGCGCCCGCACCCCGCCCTGCGAGCCCAGGCCAACTTCCCCGGAGCGTTTTTAAAAAAATAAAATAAAATAAAATAAAAGCACCAAAAAAAAAAAAAAAAATCCACCACAGGTCCTCATCCCTGCCTCTGGCAGCCCTCAGCACGACCTGTCAAAGTAACCCAAGTCCTGCCGGGGGGATTTTATTTATCGCCCCCCCCTCCCCTGAGGGCTCCTCAAGGCAGGTGGCGGAGGGAAATGGCAGTTGTGGCCGGGGAACGGCCACCGCTCCTCTGCTTCACCGTCGTATTTTATTTATTTTCGGGGACACACACACACACACACACAGCAACAAGTCGCCCCCTCAGCGACCGGCACTTGGGGGACCCCCTGGGCAGGGGGAGGAGGAGGAGGGGGGGGGGGAGGTGAAAAGGGGGGCAAGAAAAAAAAAAAAGAGGAATGGAGGAGGAGGAGGAGGAGGAGGAGGAGAAGGCAGGCGCGGCTTTACCTCAGCGAGTCCCTTCCATCCCCCTTGTGTGTGTGTGCGGGTGTTTGTGCGGGGCACGGCGGCCGGCTATGGAAACTGAGGCAGCGGCGCCGTAGCTAGGGGCGAGCCGCCGGGCGCTGCCGCCTCCATCTTCGGCGAGCGAGCCGGGGGTTAGCCCGGGACCGCCTGGTCAAACCCCGAGAAACCGATCCGCCGCCGGCCGGCACCGCCGCCGCGCTTCCCCCCCCCCCCCCTCCCGCCTCACGCGCGCCCTGACACGCTCACACGCAGCCCGGCCGGGGGCGCGCAGCGTGAGGGGAGAGGGTGAGGGAAAGGCGGGGAGGGGGGGGACCCGCGCGCGTGCCCGCGCCGGCATGGCCGCTCAGCGCGCTCGGCAATCGATTAGGGGACGAGGAGCCGCGGAGGCGCGCACACGCGCACGCGCGCCGCCCCCTCAGGGCAGCGCGGCGGCAAGCGGGGCGCGCCCCCCCCCCCCCCCCTTCCCTCTCCTCAGCCGTCGTCGTGAGGGAGGGGATGGTGGGTGGGTTGTCGTCGGAGTCATGATTCAGCACTTCTGGCTTTAACCCTCTTTCAAGTGTTTCCCTTCGGAGCCCTGCTGAAATAAACGCGTTTCCAAGCGGTTTTCAGTCAGAAATAAAGCGTTTCCCCCAGCAGCCACCCCAAAGACACCACCTCACGCCCCCACTGAGGACACCGAGTCGCAAGTGACATGCCGGGCATCATGGAGGGCCCAGGCGGAGGTGTGGTGGTGAACACTTGGGGCACAGGCACCCCACTGCCTTCATCGTGTCACCACAGGCACCCCACTGCCTTCGTCATGTCACCACAGGCACCCCACTGCCTTCACCGTATCACCACAGGCACCCCACTGCCTTCATCACATCACAACAGACACCCCACTGCCTCCATCACGTTACAACAGGAACCCCTCTACCTTCATCATGTCACCACAGGCACCCCACCGCCTTCATAAAGTCTCGGTCCAGTGCCATAGGGTCACCCCTCGACATCGAAGCTGAAGGGAGGGATGCAGGCGAATGTGTGGGTGCCAGAAGGCACCTGGGTTAACGCTCAAGCACTCTGGTTGTGTGTCGTGTGTTACATACACAAATATTAAAGCCACTTAAATTTGGAAAGTCAAGTGCACAAGCATTAGGAAGCATCAGACTTTAGGCTGCACGTACACTCCACCATCACACCCAACGGGAGCTGACAGGGAGTTATCCTTCACCTACGCTGGTCACCAAAGGGGAATACCACGCATTTTGCCAGAGTTTCAAACATTTCCTGACTGGAGTACCTCCACCACTACAGAGCCATATTCTCTGTGTATTTATGGCATATTTATGAGCATGGCAAGGCTGTAGGTATCTCCAAGTCTTGCGTTCAAACAAAATCTTACCTACATCCTCAACTCCTACTCCAGCTATGTGCAGGTGTAATGCTGAGATCCCATTGCAAGAGGCACTATAAACCCTCCCTTATTAGCTTGGCCACTTCGTATCGAATGACATCCTGCTCTGCAGTGACAGAGCCACCCTATCCTGAGAGAGGGAGACAAACTCCACTTTCAAAAATACATTAAATTATTCAGCGAGCCAAAAAGAGTGAAGTTAATAGCTCTCTCCACAGCGCTACAAATTTTAGCCAATTAGTCATTACGCCACATCTGTGAAGTGGGTTAATTTAACTCTTCTCATTTTGCATAGGAAGGAGGCAGAAAGGTTAGGGGACTGGCCCAAGGCCACAAAGAGCTGTACTCAGAGCTGAGCCTAGAAAGCAGACTTCTTGTTTCCCACGCCTACGTTTCAACAACTAGACTTGGCTTGCCTACATCAGAAAATAGACTGGCATAGCTATAGCTGTGTAATTATACCATAACAGCTCTGCCGGAATAACTCCCCTTGTGGACATTCTCCTCCAGATGGAAGGTGACTTCCCAAAAGCTGTCCAAATGAAGTCACTCAACGGCAAACACTTTGGTCTTGGCATTTTTTTTTTCCTTTTTGGGGGTCAAAATTCCTGAGGTACAGGTCTCAACAGTGCTCTGAAGACTTTGATAGCTTCTACAGGACACTGAAAAGTGGGAATAAATGCAAGAAGTGTCGCTGAAATGCTAGAAGTTTTGTTGTTGGGATTTTTATGATGCTTTTCATCAAAATGTTGAAAGCTGAAAGCTTCCAGCTGGCTCTCCTTACAGGTAATAATTTAATAACTAACAGCTCTTCTCCCAAAGCTGCTGGAACCGGCTTGAGTCGTGGAAGCTGATGGGAAAAGCCAGACCCATCCTCTACAGTAATTATTTCTGGTTTTAATCCTGCTGCTCCGTAAGCTCTCAAAACCAAATGAAGCTGTGAAAGCAAGCAAGAGTGACCAAAGGAAAAGCAGGGGACAGGCAATAAAGTGAAGGAGTTCACCGTTAAAAATCAATATGTTAACTCCAAGGACTGCAGAGATGACAGCATCTTCACTACAGCAACACAGGCGTGGGGGCGAATCACTTTTTTTCATTGCAAAATTGAGCTCTGCCTCAGCTCGGGCTGCAGCGAGAGCTCCAGCGATTTACATCGACCACACACTCCTGCCTCCAAATTACACTTGCTGGAGTAGCTGTGATGATCTTGAGGACTAAGTGATGGTTGAGGGATCAGGAGAACAGCATTCACATCTGACCGTGGGCAGAGGTCCTCTGTGTAATTTCAGCCAGGTCATTATTCCTCTGCATCTCAGTTCTCTGTTTCTAAAATGCAGTGAATAATGCAATGAGAACATTATTCCCCCCATCTCATGGGGATGCTGGGAGGAGAAATTAATTCCTTATTGCTCATCAGTAACATGCTTTGATAGGCCAGTGATGGGCTTAGCCTGTTTTTGGCAAAGTATTTAACTTTACATGCATTTAACTCTTGTGTGTGCGCGCGTGCATTTATGTGTTAATTATTACTCAAAACAAAAAGGCTTTTATGTAAATTCTGGCTTAAATTATCTAATTCTCCTTTTTCATGGGCCTTTTTATAAAGCTCAAAGTCTTCTAGGACTTAGCTCCCAAAAACCTTGTGTTAGGTATTCACCTAAAGAACAGCTTATCACACCCGAAGCTCACTCCAGGTTTATTTAGAGTTAGCAAAATTTTAAAAGGCGTATCTTACACTGTTGCCTATGAACACCACAAAGCTGCAGACCCCCGGATCAGCTTTCTTGCCTTTGGACTGAATCCTCTCTTCTCTGCCCACAGAAGGGGCACTTTGAAGACAGGCTGGACCAAATCCCAATATACTTTGAAGAGGACAAATGTAGACCGTTCTTTACTTAACTGTGTTGGGCAATCTAAAACCATATAAGCACTAAACTATTCATTATTCCATCTCCTCCTCTTTACTACAATAAGGCACTGTTTTATGCTTATACGCACCAATAAAGAGACCTATAAAGAAAATAATGAACATCCTTGAATATTTTCAGGCCATACCCTATTAATTTTAAAAGGGACTCAACATACTGCACCCCTTGTATTTCACCAAGATAAAAGCCTATAGATTAATTCCTATTAAAACAGTTGGTATTTTCAGGACATGCAGATGTAATTTATGGAGAAGCACAATACTCATAATAGCTCAAAGGCCACAGAAACTGTAGATCTGTGTCTGTTACTGTAGTTGTACAGGCATTCATTGTACAGAGAGCAGTTGAAAAGACAGAGTATGTAATCTGAATACTAAATTTGTGAATAGTTTCTCACTTGGGCTGGTTAGGCTTTTCAAGAGCAGCGGATGCTTTGTGGGGGACTTTGTAAAACATTCCGCTAATATATCACATGGTTGCTGTATTTTCTTCTCTTATCTTTACTGTTGGAGCTTTATTCACGAAGACACAGTATTTTATTCTTAGAAGGCACCAGCTCCTGCTCTGTACTCTCCACCTGAATTCAGCGTGCTCCGTGTGAGACAATTTTCACAACAAATACTGCTTCCTTCTACAAAGCGAACAGCTATAAGTGCAGATAAACCAAAAGAAATCAAGATTCCCTCTCCTCCCCACCACATAGTCAGAGTGCTTGATACTTATATCCAAGTTAACTTGTTACTTATATCCAGTAGCTGTTAACAATATCCAAGTTGCTTGGATAATAGTATAATATTTTACATTTTACTATCAACAGTAAAAGTATACAGGTTTTCTCTTTTATTATAGAGGTATAAATGTATACGGATACATCACTTACCAGGTAGGTGGGACAATTCTTGTGTCCTAACATTTAATTATGACTCAAGCTACCAGCAGAGAATCCTTGAGCAAGGGATCATTTCTTTGTACAGCACCAAACACAGTGAGGATTTATGCGCGACCAAGCATCCCGCTTAATATTTCACCAAAATTAAAAGTCAAAGTGTGTTTTGCTTTTGACTGGAAATCTCAGTACCAACAGAACTAGGTACACCCAGTATTGAGCAGAGAACAGCACAGCAGTATGACATTCATTAAGCAGCTGATACAAAAGTATGCTGGATCTATTCAAATTACTGGCAGCTGAGGGCAGATGGGCAATTGCTTCTCAAGCTGAAATTTAGTACAAATCCCAGGTCTCTGTTATGTTTGGCATTGCAAAGTACCAGGGAACATTCAGGGACAAATGACTGGACTTATGGCTTTACAGCATCTGAAAATCTGTCAGGAAAGTACATGTAGTCCTCCTGTTTCTCTGTGGCAGAATTCACATGAATCTCAAATGGCCTTAAATTCCCAGTTGGGTTTGAAGGGACTTCTCCAGGACAGATGTCTTGGACTACCTGCCAGAGTTCAGCATGGGCCAGTGGCTCCTGAGGGGCCAGGAGGGAAACCCCAGGCAGGAACCCCATCAGCCAGGGCCCACCCCA